TTAGGTGAATTCAACTCTATCTCCCGCTCCCCATCCCCCCATTACAAAGTGACAACTGGCTGTGGAGATGTTTATGGATCCTAATAGTTTGATTCAGCATGTTGTATGATGATGTTATGATACAGATTAGGAAAACGGGGGGAAGTCTGCTGAACCCTTGAAGGCCAATGTTAAGGCTTACTTTAAATTCTTCACAAGCCTTGGGATCATTATGAACATTTCTTATGAGATGACTGTAAGAAACTACTTGCTGTGAGGGGGGGGGGGATGGAATCTAGCCTGTGACTGCAGATTAACATTCCAGAAATGTTACCTATGAATTCTAAACTAAAGCCTTAGTATTCTGTTCATGGCATTTACAGTGTGAGTGGCATCTGTTCAGCCACTTAAGGTTTCTGATCTTGCAGCACCTAGAATAGATTCTATGTGCATTTTTTTTCACCATGTTGAGACCTGCATGCAGTTTTTAAGAACAAGGCAGCACAGCATATTTTAACACAAAGAAGATGAGACAGGCAGAAGGAGCAAGAAAGATTGTTGATTGTGAGGAATAATGTGCCTTTTGTCACCACATAAATTAAACATATAGCTCATGTGACTTTAGAAGAGAGAAAGAAAAAATGTGCAAGCTGCTGAGAATTTGTCAAAATACTGGAGATAAAAATTGAAGTGCAATTTTTGGCAGCACGTGGTTGAAAACCAACAGTTATCTCCATATGTTCGAACAAAGAGATGTATAAAATTGTATGGTTTTTCTTGAAATTGCCATTTGTTTCCCAGAATGTTTTTTGTTTAAGGAGGAGGGGGAATTAAGTATTCTGTTACACTGGGAGTCCCAATATTGTTCACCCTGTGAGCTGTTTTAGAAGTTTGATAACAGGTAGTGGGTGCAATAACAAAATGATTGCTGTGGGGCATTCAGAAAACATTGGGAGGTTCCACAAAATGTTAGATGGTCCCGATTGAGCATTCTCCTATAATGGAGGCAGCTGTTTTCAAAAGGGTTCTCCCTGAACACATAAAGATGATACTTCTCAAGTTGTTTTGAACTCTCTCTTTCTGTAATGAAGTGGAGGTAAACCAGGACTGGCTCTTTACTGCAGAAAAGAGATGGTTTAAGGGAAAAGCTACTGGAAGCAACCACTGGCATCATGTTGGATCATTGTCAAGTTCCACCTGGTAGGTTCCAGACAGGACCCTAGAATAGGCTTGCCAAGTCCCCTGTGCCAGAGGCCCGTTCCCCGCCGCCGCCGGATTGGGCCCCGGGGGGAACTCCGCCCCGACGTGCATGTCACCAGGAAGTGACGTGACAACGGCGGGCACGCTGGGGGCGGGGCCACAGTCATCCGAGGGAAAACTCTATGGTTTTCCCTCGGATGGTCTTGGCCCCGCCCCCAGCGTGCCCGGCGTTGTCACGTCACTTCCTGGTGATGTGGTTGCAGCGCGCACACTCCGTGATCGGCCCGGGAGTCCCCCGCTGCAGAGGAAGGTAACACTTGGCAACCCTACCGTAGAAAGCTAGTCAGAATGACAGAAGCAGCATGCTATGGCTGGCAGGTGTTAATAGGTCACGAGGTTGAAGCAGAAAGGTGGCAAATTATGAGTATATTGAACAGTGATAATTCATAATAAATAGTAAGGCCTGCAACATCAGAAACAGCTTCAAGGGTGACAGAACCTTTGATCTAATGAAGGCCAAATCTCAAAAGAACGCTTAAGTTTTCAGAGTGGGTCTAATGTGTACCCAGAACCTTACCTCTAAGGTAGGGTAATAAGGAATCTCAAGTGGATGTGCTTTGGTTTTTGAACATCCATTATAACACCGTATCTTGACCTCAAATTGTGTTGTTTGCTGCCTCACATGGAGCTCTTTATGGAAGTGCTGAGATTTCTGTAATGACAATCTGTAGCGTGTGGGCTGGAAAGAATATCTTGCCCTCAGAAAAGTCAGCAGAGTGTTTGGTCAAATAAAAAGAGAGAGAGAGCCAGGCATAGTTTTGCTAGAGCAATGCTTTGTGTCAAAACCTCTAAGGAGTTGGTTTATGTTACAGAGATCCGTGGGGGGGTATAATATGAAAATAATAACTGTTTTATTAATTTATCTTAAGAGACATGGAATAAACTTAGTAGTACATTCGCTCCATAGTTCTCACCATTGATGTCCCTGATAAGAGAGCTAGCTAGGAGATATGGTTGATGTGAACAGGAATGTGTATGTTAGGAAACAGTGGCCAGTGCTAGCTAAGAGAGGGAAGAGATACTCCTCCATAAATATCATTGCTCCTGCTTTCATACTGTTGCAGCTACTGCAGCTGGGCCACCATGCTCCCCACCAACTCCCCCACCAACATCAATGCCGGTGGGCCTAGCACAGCTCCACCCGTCCACTGTCAGGCCCTCTGCAGCTCCCAAAGCCCTCCAGCATTAAAACTTCTGCCTCTGGAATGCTGTGCTCCTGCCCCCCCTCCAACATTGTTGCTGGGTCATCGATGCCAGGGTCATCTAGTCTAACCCTCTGCACAAGGCAGGAAATTCACAAATACCTCCCCCTCCACACCCGGGGTGACAGCTGTTCCACACCGAGAAGATGACAAAAAACCTCTAGGATCCTTGACCAAACCAGCCTGGAGAAAAATTGCTTCCTGACTCCAAAGTGGCAATCAGCATTTCTCTGGGCATGTAAGAAAGGGCCACAAGAACTAAGCACTGAGGCAACCCTTCCTGCCCTCCCTCTCATGATCTCCCTAAGTTCACACTAAAAAGTTTATTGTTGGCAAGATTATGTAATGGAGAATTCATAATTCCATTTGAAAGTCTTATGGTGTTTAATGAAAAAGCTGTGTTTTCATCTATAGTATGTTAAATACATGTACAAATAGGCCTACCAAAGGGTATGTTGAAAAGTGGTATATGGCACTAGGTTATGGGGTTAACATAAAGGTCCTGTTTTTGTTTATCCTTTCTATTAGCCTTGCTTTACGGAAAAAATGCCCTTAAGATGTCACTTGATTGTAATCTTTCTCCATCTAGATTGTCAAGGATATATAGTGGTGCCCCCAATCATCGCTAGTTTTGTGATGAACCTTACACTAACTTTATTCATGTGTGGTGGAAATGTATTAGAGCAAAGAAGGTTTGGAAAATGGCTGCTGTAATCCTGTCACATGGTACTGGGTGCAAGGTTGTTCTTACTCCAGAATTATTTTAGTTAAATGATGTTGTCTCCATCTCAAAACAGTTCTGAATTATTGTTCTGTATGCAGTGACAACAGCTAGATTAGTATTCGCAAAATTGTGAAAACAAAAGAAAATTCCTGGTAGGCTTTCTTAGTCAGAGAAAAAAATATAAATTTTGATGCAATTTACGGCTTTGGAAATAAATGAAGATGAGACCAGGTTAGATTCACAGTGGAAGGAAGTCTTATGTCAAATCGATATAACTATGAAGCTTGATGATATTTAACTACACATGGAAGAATTAATAATTAAGACAGGAGTAATTAATAGTAGTATTATTTAGTTAAAGAAAAAAAAATCTACCTTTACTGTATATTTAAATGTAATCTCATGTAATTTTTAAAAGTATCTTAACACCTAGTACTTTTCTTTTTGGCCTGTATTTAGTATTTCTGTAATTAAAAAAAGGAAAAGGTCAGGAGAGAGCATATTAGGTTTCAGCAGGGTTGCCAACCCCCCCGGTTTGCCAGGGGTCCCCCGTTTTTTGGGAGGGGTTCTACCCACTGCCAGCCAGATGGCCAGCGGGGGAAGCCCCACCCCCAACACCCACAGCCACCCCTCTCTCGCCCTTTAAGTGAGTGGAACCCGTGTTTCCTCCCAAGCCCGATCTCCGCTTGAGATCTGGCTTGCAGGGAAATGCCAGCTTCGTGCACTTAAAAGGGAAACACGACTGCTCTTAAAGGGGAAACGATGGCTCCTGCACTTAAAAGGGAAACGCTGGCTCCTTTAAGTGCAGGGAACTGCCATTTCTGGAGATCTGGCGCGTGGGCAGGGGGCTGGCGGACATCCCCAACGTGACGTCATCACGTCGGGGATGCCCCGCCCCCTCCAGGAACGCCCCCAAAGTCCCCCGGTGGGGGTGGGAGATGGACTTGGCAACTCTAGGTTTCAGCAGGGCTTGGAATCACAGAAACTCTGGTGTGGGCTCCTTCACCTTACTTTGAGTGTCTCATAGAGGTCTGTGTTTTGAACATGATCTGAAGAAGGCAAGTGAAATTAGAGGGCTCTGCCCCCTGCTCTTTAATGAAGTCCTGCTGTTGACAGAGATACCACCAACAGCCTTAGCAAAAGGAGTCCCCAAGGAAAGCCCACCACTTACTGCAACCCCTTGACAGTATCAATTCCCTGCAGCTGAGGGAAATGCCTGCCTCAAATTTGTATTTTGTATTGATGCAGCTTTGATTTTTGTTATTCATCTGCTGTTACTATATCAAGATGGGATACAGGTTTAATAAATAGTGAAAGCACTATTGTATATTTTGTCTTGTTATTGTGCAGGGGAGAGGGAAGAGAGCCAGTTTGGTGTAGTGGTTAAAAGTGGCAGACTCTAATCTGGAGAACTGGGTTTGATTCCCCACTCCTCCACATGAAGCCAGCTGGGTGACTTTGGGCCAGTCATAGTTCTTTCAGAGCTCTCTCAGCCCCTAAAAACAAGTCTAGCTCGCCATTAGCACAACACAAACAGCTAGAACAAACAGCACAACACAAACAGCTAGAACTTGCAGACAATCCTCATGGCTATTCTACACACAATGCCATATGATAATGTGATGGTGGTGGTGGTAGTGGTGACAATGACGATGACAAGACTGACAGGATTTTAAAGCACATTTACACAGTTAGAACCCAGAAAAAAAATTAGAACCCCAGGAAAAAGTTATGCAGATATAGGCAAATTAGGTCTCCTCCACCTCCTTCTGTGCACATTTAGAAAGATGCTATTTAGTGACTCATGGATCTTATTCTCCTGTGTTGTTGGACAGGCCGAATGGGAGCTGGTGAAAAGAAAAATGCTTGCAATGTGCAGTACCGACGACCGTTTGGCTGTGCAGTCCTCAGCATAGCAGATTTGCTGGCAGGCGACACAAAAGATGACCTTATCCTAAAAGTGTACATGTAAGAAAATATATATCTGAAGTGCATTGCAGCAGTCTCTGTAGAAATATCGAGGTCAAATTTTATCAGCAAAACTAAGTCTACTGGTTTTTGAAATGTTTGTCAATGGAATGACATTCAGTGAATATTCACTTGTGTATGTCTTTACTTGTATATACAGCTATATATTCTGTTTCATATTCAGGGAAACCATTGTAATGTATTATTGCCAGTTATCTATATAGCATGATGTGGTATGAGATACCAAACAACCAAGTGGTTTGGAATTGTTATACTGAAACTTCATTTGTTTTAAATAAAAAGTACTGAGCATAAGTTTGGCCCCCTGTGGGTCCATTCATTAGTCTACTCTAGCAAACATGCCAGAGGGTCCTGTGGAACTGTAAACACTGTGATATGAGTTCTTACAGGCCCAATATGACTCCTGATGAAGTAGCCTCTTGTACAGTTTGTTAATCTTTATAGACAATCCAGGTAGTCAACACTAACTATTTTTCATAGTAGTTCTGCTCAGTTTAAACTGCTCTGTTTTATAAATGAAAATATCAGTATGTAAAAGCCTTGTCCTAGACTAGTAATCTTTAGCCTATGAGGTGGGTTGTGAAGCTGGAACTACCGAGTTGTGAGCCCTATAAAAATGTTGGTGGAGGATATTGTCCCTGTTTGGTAGAACTTGTTGTTTCAGTGTGTGTGCATAAGAGAACAAGGGCACACAACATATCCTGCCTTTGCATCCATACTGAAATGAACAGCAGGACAATGAGGCAAAATCAGCTCTAGGGTGTGCACAAAAAAAGAGAGGTATTTTTCAGGTTCGGGAATAACAAACTCAAAAAATATCGGTATATACTGATATTCCCAAATCCCAATTATTGTTATGATATTGGGATTCAGGAAATAATTGGTATTGCTGCCCATTGCCCCGGACCACAAATGGGGCCCACAGTGAATCAGGGGCCCCACATGCCATGAGACCATGAAAAAGGCTTAGAGCTAGTGGGAAAGTTCACGGAGAAAGCAGATGTTTCCTTGCCTTTCTCAAGCACACAGGTATTTCCTCTGAAAAACCTCTTATAGGATCAGGAGAGCCTTGTGAAGAATATATGGGGCATTTTAGCAATCAAGGGGAGTGAGGAAAATTTGGTGTCCCCTCCAGTGAAGACAGCCACTCACAGTAGGGACTGAAGGGTCTGATTTCTACCTGATTCCCTTTTCGTCACTGCAGTGCCCATACTGAAATGCATTTTTTGTGAGGCTCTTCCAAGCCCACAAGAGAATTTTTGAAGCAGTCTGCTTGGGAAAGTAGCCAGTTTCTTCCACAAAAATGTTCCATTGGATCCATCCCATGGATTTTTGTACATAATTGAACATAGTAGATGGAAAAAAATGTTTCGTTTTCATGGATGTAGTTACAAGGAATATATTACAGTACAGTACAATTTGTTGACCGTATGTTAGGGCCAGTGTCTTTTAATATCTTTAAGTGCTAGTGAAGAAGTTGCTGTACAATTTAGAGAAGAAGAAGAGATCTATGAATTAGCTGCAATGTTGGGTGTGTGGTCCTTGACAACACAGCAAGCATTCAGTTGGTTGCCATACCAACGAATTAGATGCATTCTCTTATTTACCTTTTATACTGAATTTCTTATGTGCAGGGTATTACTACCGTATTACTAGCAAAACTCCAGGTACAAGTTGATTAAGGATGAAAGATGGAGGCTTATTTTATCTTCTGCCTTTAATTACTTTGAGAGAGACCCCCCAGAGTTCGCTTCATTAGTTAATGGAAAACATCTGCTCTCATTTGGATTGAGAACTGTTACTGTTTTTACAGGTGCAACACAGAGAGTGACTGGTACCAGATCCATGAAAACATCATCAAAAAACTAAATGCTCGTTATAACTTAACAGGATCCAATGCTGGTAGGTTTCATTGTCCTGTTATTTTCCTGGCAAAGTTTGAAGAGACAGTGTGGAGGAACAGAAAGTATTTGGGGGGTTGGATGTGGTTAACCCATCTTCAAATCCTAGCTCTTCTATGAAGTTTTCTGTATTGTCTTGGGAAAGTCTCAGTTACTTCATAGCATTGTTGAAACCAAATGCTCTGAGTTACTTAGTTTGTTCCTATTCAAATTTGTTCCAGTCTAAGCCCAGTGACTTCAGTGAGTTTAACTGGAGTAATTCTGCACAGGATAACACTTTTGAGCTCTCAAAACCCATTTTCCTTCACTTATAAAGAAACAGCAGTAGAGACCCTGCTTTTGTTTCACATGTAAAATAAAAGTACCACATGCCTGCCTGTTGAGTTACACTTCTATGGTGGAACATCAAAAGTTGGAATGACCATAATTTCTTTTCTGTTTTGCCATGTGGGAAAGTGGACAAACAGAGTTAACCCAATTGAGGTCACATTAAAAACAAAACTTCATCAAAGTACATCAAGTTAAAACCAAAGCTAAAATAAGCGTATGAAAACAAGGACAGCAGTTAAAATAAGATGGGAAAGGGAGGCTAGTGAGGGAACACCAAGCAAATAAAAACAGTTTTTTACCCACTGGTTGAAAATGGTGATGTCAGGTGACAAATGAATATCCTTAGGTAGGGAGTTCCATAATTTTGGTGTCATGACCAAAAAGCTCATTTTTCGGGTTGCAACCCTTCTAGCTTCAGAAAGCAGGGTCACCCAAAGCAGGACCTCAGGAGATTACCATACTGTTGAGAAGCTTTGTATGAGAACATGCAGTCCCAAAGGTATGTTGGTCCCAAACTGTATAGGGCTCTAAATGTCAATACAAAGACCTTGAAATGATCCTGGAAATGTCTTGCGCACTCAGAGGATTTTTAAAAATATCTGTAATGAGGCAGTCCTTCAAGAGATGATGTACCAGATGTTTAGGGCTTAATCCCCAGTCTCTCCTACCTGAGTCTTTTTCCCAGTGTGATGAAATATGTGCAGCTAGCATGTTGGAAACTACAAGTTAGATCCAAGCCAGAGCTACACAATATAATCCAGTAAATATTTTTTTTTACTGGAGAATGGCTCTTTTTTCTTTGGCTCTCTTTATCCAGAACATTTTAATAGTGAGCATCTTTCTTCTAATGCAAAGCGGACCAGGGCTACATCTACACATTGATGGATATTTCACTGTTGTTGTGCAACAGCAGTCATTTGCAACTGGGTTGGCTTGACCATTCAGAATAATCCAGTTGTAAATAGTAAAACAGTACTGCAGTATCCAGTAATGTTGGGATGTAGTCCAGGGTGGAATTTTTGGCATGTGAGAGAAAAGACCTCTGCAGCATAGGAAGAGACCTTGACACCTGAAGAACTGAACTTTTTTGAGCATATGCAGGAATAAAAAGTTGTTAGTCTCTAAAGTACAACAGTGCTCTGGGTTTGTTTTTTCCTGTAGCAGGGCTAACATGACTTCCCTCCTGGAATTTGTTACTCTTCTCTATAATGATTAATCTGATCCCACTTCCTCTTAAATCTTTCTCTTATCAGCTGCACTTAAAGTGTTGCATTTCATACACATTCTGAATAACATTCATACAATAAGAGTGCTTTTGTTTAATTACTTTACACTCCAGTGACAGGATATTAATCTGCCATTTAAATCCTTCATTACACTTCAGTGACAAGGGGATTATGTACATTATATTTTGATGTGTTTAAGCTTCAGTTGTCATTGAGGGCTGCCATTAGAAAGAAACTCAGAGCGGGAAAGATGCTGAGATGTTGTGATTCAACATAAATACACCCAGCATGAGCAAATCTCTCCTTTTTTCTCAATAAATGAAAAGCCTGGGCAATTGAACTTTGATGGAGAATTTTGTTTGGCAATTATTACTCAATTAGTTTAAATGATAACTTGACAATGTAAGAGAATTAGTTTGAAGTTCAACTATTAGGGTATGCTTTTTAAGTTTAAAAAACTTTACACATGTGTCTAGTACTTTGTAAAATATGGGATACTGTTCCTAGATTTTTTATAAATGAAAACTAAGGTAAACTAGTGACAGTCTCCAAGCAAAGATTTTCTGGATTGAAATTTTCTTTGTGGCAGAAGAGTTATGGTTGGCCAGATGATGAGTCAGCTGTTGTATGGCCAAGCAGGAGGACTCTGTTCTTGCTGGCATCCCCTTCCTTTCTCCAGTACACTGGATACTGTTTTGGCTGCATCTGAGACATGCTTGGGGCACTCTTGGCTGTGTAGTCCTCAGGGTACCTGATACATTAGATGCAAACACATTCTTGGGAAAAGAGACAGAAAGAAATTATTAGAGTGGGAGGAGTCTTTTGGACTTCTGATTGGCCAGTAGGTCAGGTTCTGGGTCTGATGGAGCATCTGCATCCCATTGAGTCTCCAAAACCGGAAATCTGGATCCCACAGAGCTTCTTGAAGCTGACCAGGGTCCAGTTGGCTCCATGAGTGAGCACAAATGCACTCACCACCTAAACAGGGCAGGTGTGGTATGCTCAGCTGGACCTTCAGGGTGAAGTGGTCAGACCATTGAACTACCTCTGTAGTCATCAGAGCCACATGTATTCTTATTCCAAATAATTCCAATCCTTCAAAATCAAGAATATTTTAAAGAACTTGATAAATTGATGATACAATTTATATGGCAAAACAAGAAACAAAGAATAAAACTTAAAGCCTTGCAAGATGAAAAAGAAAGAGCTGGGTTTGCATTATCAGGTTGGCTTCTATATTATAAAGCATCATCATTGACGTGGTTAAAAGAATGGATTACATTAGAAAATATTAGATTATTAACATTAGAGGGACATGAACTTTTATTAGGATGGCATGTGTTTATATGGTATGGAAGAGCGGATGCTCATAAACACTTCAACATATTGTTAGGAGCTCCTTATTGAAGGTATGGGAGGAAGTTAAAAGACTTTTTTATATCAAGATACCAAAATGGGTTTCACCACTTGAAGCTTTTACAAATCCAAATTTATTTCAAAAAAATGCATTGCTAAGATATGAAGACTTGTTAGATAACAAAAATGAACTAAAACCAACAGAAAACCTTAAAAAACAAGAATCCAACCTAACTTGGTGGGAAAGAGCTCAAATAGAATCAAGATATGCTAAGGATAAGTTAACATGATTTTATTCCAAAATAATAGACATGGATAATATATTGTTTTATACTGAGGAGAAACTAATTAATAAACTATATTTAATAATGCTAGAAAACAAAACACAAGATGAAGTAGTTAAAAATTGTATGTTTAAATGGGCACAAAACTTGGGTCATAATATTGATTTGGACCAATGGTCACAGGTATGGAAAAAATGTAGATTACTAAAGCAATTTCATATAAAGAAAATATTTATAAAATGTTTTATAGATGGTATATTACTCCAGATAAATTACCAAAGTTTTACCCTAACCTACCAAACGATTGTTGAAAATGTCAAAAAGTTGGTTCTTTTTTTCATATGTGGTGGACATGTCATAGTGTTAAAAAATATTGGTCTTAGATTCATTAAATATTACAAAAAATGTTAAAAACTACTATACCTGGTATTACCAGAAAACTGTAAAAAGCAAGATTCCTATTATACATGTAGTGACAACTGCAAGAATTTTATACGCTAAATATAAGAGAAAAATGAGGTACCTTCAAGAGAAGAAACTATAAATAGAATGCTTGAAACTGTAGAGATGGACAAATTAACTTTAATGTTAAGAGGACAAACTGAAGGAAGCTTTGAGAACACATGGTCAAGATTTTACAAATGGATTGAAGAATACAACAAATAAAATATATCTACATACAACCGATCTAGAAGCAAATAAGAACTATATTTTTAATATATGCAAAAGATTTGTCTAAAAATACAAGGTGGAACAAGGAAAAAATATAATTAGATATAGTATGAGGTAACTAAATAGACAATTTATTGATGTAACGATAATCCCCATTTTTGTATGTACTTTTGTCTTTTACTAAACTACTAAAAACCCGGGGAACTCCAGTGCCCAACTTGATACAGCATCTAAGAGGTCGAACAGGATATCTGCCGGTGTGTTAGGTGGTCGGTACATCAGCCAGATAGCCAAACTCTCCTTGAAATCACACGCCAGGCCCACTGTGATGTCAGTGGGATTCAATGTCAGAGATTGTTGGGGCAGGGACAGCCTGAAGGAACAAAATTCACAGATGAGCAATGTCACACCTCCTCCCTGCCCATATGTCTGAGAATGGTAAAAGACTGAGAACCCAGGCGGGGCAAGCTGGTTTAAAGTGACAGTTTCACCTTCCTTCACCCAGGTCTCAGTCACACAAGCCAGGTCTACCTGTGACTCTGTGAGATAATCACGGAGTGTATCAGTCTTATTATTGATAGACCTGGCATTGAATAACACCAGTGTCAGAGAAGGGTAATTTTTCCTAGCCCCACAACCAACATCTCTCGGGATGGGACGTAGGTGGGAAGAAGTCCAAGCATTCCCATATTTCTGATTTCTTTCATTCCAATTAGAGGAATAGCACCTATGTCCCCCACTATATCTCCCCTGCCCCATCATCACTGGTATCCATGACCTTTGCATGGCCCCCCTTCATCGGTGTTGTCAACCCAATTCTACCCTGTCCAACAGCCAACAAGACTATGCCTACACAGATACAAGACCCAAAAACAGAGCCAATCCAGTTGCAAGGGAAAGCTATAATGACAGTACAATATCCCATGATTTATGGATGTGGTCCAAGGTTCACTTGCACATGATTACTACAATCTTGGCCATTGTTGGTTCCATTGCTATCACCCTGTTGCTGGGGAAGGCAGTACTGGGTAACAAATAGGATTAATCCAGGATGTCTGCATTCACACATCACATGAAACAATAGTTAAAACTATAGTTAATAAACTGATTTGAAATCATGATTTCATATACTG